TTTGGCATTAATTTTAATTTCTGTTACCAGAGGTATTCACGGCCAAGTAATTAAATTAGACATTTGGTTATCAAATAATTAACAACCAAATGATTGTTAGCTACAAGTTTGCATCTGATTGGTTCTTTCGCTATTACCATTGATTCGCTATTACCATTGATTCGCTATGATACCATTGACTCTGTATACAGAGTATACAGAGTCGCGGTAAGTTCTCGTTCTCTGCCATCAACACTGCATTGTCTACATGCATAACACACAATTCTGACGGATTTCTCATCCATTCTGTATCTAATGTCCAAGAGTTTCCCATCTTTGATCATCTGATCTATATGCTATAGGAGACTGGTACATTTTCAGAAAGGCCGTCTTCTACTTTAATTTTAATTTCTTCCCAACAGCTCCCAATGTTTAACTGCGTTATTAGTCCGTAATAAGTTTCAGATATGTTGTTGTCCTTAGGGTCCTTGAGGAGAGCCTGTCAGACTCATCAAATGTACTCTGGCAGAAAAAATCTTTTAATTCAGGGGCTCACATTTAATTTCGAGTCGGCTGATTATTTAGTTGCAGAATTGAGGCCAATATATTCTTATGAAGCCTGCACAAGTAAATCTCCAAATAGTCGAAGCTGATCGGCTCCATAAGAATATATTGTTTTCACTTTGCAACTAAATAATCGGCCGATTCGAGATTGCATGTGAAAAATACTTAACTTTACTAACAAATTTATACACATGGCAGCACCGGCGGAGAATGCACAAAGCCTATACAATTTGCAAAAAAATGGTCACACAATATATCATAATTCATACGATTAGCATAATCGGATAATAACATTTCTTATTTTTAGTTGTACTGTAAATAATTTGAGCAAAGAAAATAACCAGTTTTGAGCAAATACTTAGCTAACCTTCAATATTTACGATACCATAAATGATATCACTGTGATATAAGTGCTTCTTTATCAATTGCGTGGTGTATACCTAATGGCTATACCAGGCCTGACTATAAATTTAAATTGTGAAATTCCTATAATTTAAGACCAATTACAAATAATTTGTATTCTTCTTGTTTCTAGTGAGAGTTATACAGGGTATTTCAAAAACATGTGCCATCTCTCGTGAAAAGATTTTTCATGTGCAAAATAATTATTTATATTATGATTAATAATAAAAATTAAAAAAACTTTAACAACTTTAACCAAGCAACTTTAACCCATAAGCTTTAATCTAATTAGTGGAATAAATTAGTAGTTTCAATTAGCGTATAAGTTTGTTCCTCTAAATTTGAATGTACATTCAGAACGCGTCTTAATGAGTTTCCTATATTAATGTATGGTTCCGAGTCCTGGAAGATGAGACAGTCAGAAATGGAAAAATTGACGCAACTGAGATGTACTGTTGACGAATGCTCAGAATTCCTTTTTCTCAACTTCTATAATAGCATCACGTATACTTAAATATTTTGGTCACGTTATGAGGAGGATACTGACTGTATGGAAAACTCATTATACAGGGCAAGGTTCCGGGAAGAAGACCAAGAGGCCGCTCGCCCTCCCGATGGATAGACCAGCTATCAAAAATCACCCACAAGCCACTGCACACGCTTGTACATGAAGCACAAGATAGGGAATAATGGAGACAAACCTCACACATCACCTGACCACTACATTCCTTTTGTAGGAATAAAGACAGAGAGAGAGATATTCAGAACGTCAAAATTAGTGGTAGGAATTTTCAATTAGTGGAAAGTTAACAAACTTTTGACTTTTCCAATAATTATAATTCAAAATTTGCGAGGAATGTAATTTTGGCTTTTGATTATCATCCGTCAAGAGAAAATGTGGTTAGAAACCTAAAGTTTATTGTTTTATAAGCTAAATATTAGACTTTCTCTATGGATACAACTGATTACTACAAGCTATTACTAGGATATTCTATTAATTTTAATTGTGTTTTTTAGACATTGTGAATGGTCGCAAACTAAAAAGTATAAAATGTAATTGAAACCACTAATTTATTCCACTAATTGCGAGGTTCTGAATGAAGCTTTAAAGTCTTAATTTTCTTCAAAGTGCTTTTAGCGATTAGAATGAAATTTTGAGCGGAAAGTGCGACATGTTTTAATGCTAAAAAAGTATCTACATATGAACCAGGGACGTGCATATGGGTTATCACTGGATTATTTAAAAAAGCATGTGCGCCACTGACTTTTCTTCTCTTGTTAAGTAAAATATGTAGACCGTTTAATGACGATTACAAGTTGTCTTTTGATATTGTGTCTATATCGGTCTCCTTGATGTGAAAATCAAGCAATTATATAATAATTGTCATAATCCAAACCAAAAATTTTAATGTCATTTACTAGCCAAAGTGTCAAATTAACATCATTATCAGATTATATCATTTCTAATTAAGTGCAACCGCCCTCACATATTTAGATACTGTATTTGTAAATGGGTCTATTGTTGTCTACTACATACGACTGCCATTACTCGCTGAGGAGTATTTGACACGCATCAAAAATCTCATTACTTTGTTGCCTCTTTACTTTTTGGTTGTCGTTATTAACTGAATTTACAATTCTCGTCCATTGCGTTCGATTGTGCGCTGCTTCCTCCCACTGATGCTGCATACTTATCCCCTTTAAGTTTTCATGAACACCATCCTTTGTCCACCCGGTTTCCTCTTACCCTCTACAAGTTCAGCGTAAAGAAGAGATTTCGGTAGGCGGTTTTCTTTCATCCTGCATACGTGGCCAGCCCATCTTATGCGAGATTTCGTAATCATGACTTCAGCGCTCTCGCAGCTTGCTTTTTAAGGACTGATACGTTTGAGACATGGTGGTACCGTTTGATTCTTAAAAGTTGTCCATGTACCATTTGATTCTTAAAAGTTGCAATAGACAACAACAATTATGCATTGTTGTCTATTGCTATGCGGGCTCACGTTATCCCTGCTAATTTACAAATATCATGGTCCCATATCAGGCTTGGTCTTCCTCTAGGTCTCATTAATTCCTCGTGGGTACCACAATCTGTAATTTTTCTGATCCATCTGTTGTCTGTCCTTCCTGCCGGGTGTCCTTCCCGTTGCTACTTTGGGTGTTGCCACTTGAGGGATTTGATTCTGTTGATGACATCTATTACCTAGGTCTTTTGTCGTATCCACTCTATTCTTGTACGGTCCTTCTTGGTTATTCCCAGCATATTTCGTTCCATTGAGCGTTGTGAGGTGAAGGCTGGAGAATTTGTCCCCATTTTCTCCACCTCTTTAACTTATCTAACGTCTCTCCTTAGACCTAATACCGGTGTTATCTTGAATCTATAATAATGGATATATCTCCCTTTATCTATTGCCTCCTTGGATTTGAGGTCAATTCTATACTATACTATTCCCCCGAGTTGATGATTCGCCAACTCGACTTCGTTAAATTGGAGTTCCGGCAAACAACTGGTGACACGTCCCCGCTTGCCTCCCGGTGTTGGACGGCTTTCCATCCTGGCTTTTTCTTTCCTTGCCGCAACATAGTGTAAAATCGTTATTTTTCGGGGCTTACTCAACCGGGTCTCACAATGCAAATTCACCTCAAATATCCATTTAGTTGGTCATTGGCAAGCACTCTCTCATTGTACATGAAAATAACAAAACAAACATTTACTGATCTGGATAAAATTGATAGTTAAATAGTAAGACTCACCCGGGGGTACTCCGCCCCCTAGCCACTGACATCACTGACATTCTATTCAATATATCCCATTCCATATCTTCCATCTAATTCAAATATTATTCGGATCTATTGGTTAATATCTTCAACAACTAGCTAGTGTCACCTGAAATAGTATAGGGGCTTCCCCCGGACGCAAATCTGCCGCTAAACAGATTCGCATCCCAAACGATGAGGCTAATTGGGGTCTTCACACAACGCCCCACCGTCTCAATCGAGAAGCAAGAGAGACCTCAAACTCTCAAGACCATCCTCGAAGGAACGACGTCACAAGAGGTTTTCTACTTCCATAGTCAAAAGACTCGCTACTTCCAAATGTCAGCTCTGTAACAAAACACAACACTACACAGCCGGCCGGCCTATCAACGACTGCCTGACCTGCCGCCTGCCGAGCTAAGCCTCCTCTTACATCACAATTTTACCTGATCACAAATATTTACATCGCTTGCCAATGAATCATGCTGTTTTCTCTAATCGACTTTCAAATAGAGTGTTTTAGCATTACCAAATAAATAAATAGAGAGTTTCCGAAGGAATGCATATTGTTTATTAGAATAGTGAATAAATAAAAGCATTATTATAACAAACTTATTTTCCAAGTTTTACAATAGGTGAAAGATTCTCACTCTCTCTCTTGCCCTTTGGTGGAGATGCGCCAGACTGTTTCTTGGTTCCTTTACTCTCCCCTTCTTCGAGGAGTGTTTTTCGCCTTGATTTCAGCTATTCTAAATTTGAAAAACTCGAAAAGGATGGATTGCCGCGGAAACATTTTTATGGCATACTATTCGAAAAGGTTCCCAAATACTAAATAAATAAATATTTCTTATATAACTGATTTCAAGTAAACGAAACGTCAAGCTCAATCAATTTCACAGTCAAAACACGCGTCAACGACAAACTAAATCCATTTTCAATATCATTACCTGTATTCACCAACTTTTCACCTAAGCCAGGCCTAGCCTCCTGCGAAACCGCGATGAATGACGAATGACTTTCACATTAATCACGCCGGCGGAGTCTCCGCACCTTCCGTTGAACCATCGTTGAACTGTTGAGCCGACAACCCGAGGCGCACGCGTACTACACGCGTGACCTCACCGCGCGGCTTTTTAAGTCAACAACCAAAACGTGTTCGCTCGTAAACAGAGAAGTCGCGCGACCTGCTCGGTCGTCTATCCGCTCGCTTAGCTCTTCTAACCACGTCTTTCCGGTAGTGATTTTTCACCAGTCGCTGTTAATTGTAATTATTACTATGACGGGTACTACTGTTCCAGGTGTGACCAGAAACCAGTGCGTCTGCGGTCCGAACGGGGCAGAGCCGGCCAAATCGCAACTTGTCGGTAAGTAGGTTAAGAACTTTGTTTGTTGTTACCGGCTTTTCGATGTAATTCTTTGATTTCTCTTCTATACTGACAACTGACACTGACTGTTTCTAAGAACTAAAAATATGTAATGACAGTTGAAGTGTTTTTGGTGTCTGTTGGTGGAGAAAGACAAAGAATTGTATATTATAAAATTTGTCTAGAGATTGTCTTTAACTAGTAAGTATCTGTTGAAGAAGGTAATATTATTAATTTCCAATCGAAACCAGCTACTGCAATGTCACCATTTTTTAAAACTAAATACAATGGTATCTTCACAACTTTTTGTGTTTTATGTATTATAATGTTTATGTTGTCTTGCCTCTGATCGAATTTTATCTGTTTCTAAGAATACAGAGAATAATTGTGAGATTTTGTTTACGATTATATTTGAGTATTATTATTTTGCAACACGAAATTGAGAATACTGGATAAAATTGCATCGATTTTTATGTCGATTTACTTCTGATGTTCACTTGATGCCGCATAGTGGCACACTTAGACTCGCGTGAATTCTCATCCTTCATTTTTTTACAAAATTGAGAGTTTTGGATAAAATGGTATTTCATTAAAAGCTAGATATTTTTCTGAACGAGGAAAATATTAAACTGCTCAAAACAATTATCGCATATTTTTAAATAAATAATATTAATTTAAGAAACAACACACCTAAAGTTCTCTGAATCACGTTTTTAAGTAGTTTGGATACTGTAAAGGGAAATATTAGAAACAATAACCCTACGCATTGACATGCAATTTTTAGTTAGCCCACTGTTTAGTTGCATAAGTGAAAACAATACATTCTTATGAAGCCGATCGGTCAACTATTTGATTGCATGTGAGCGCGGCTTCATAAGAATATATTGGTTACACATCTGCAACTAAATAGTCACCCGACTAAAAATTGCTTGTCGACGCATAGCCTAAGGCTACGCGATGCAATCAAATAGTTGGCCGATCGGCTCCATAAGAATGTATTGTTTTCACTTTTGCAACTAAATAGTCGGCCGACTGAACATTGCATATTAGCGCGTAGCCCACTTATCCTAAAAAACTCGCAAGAGGAAGGTAGAAACATACATGGTTCATTTAGAAATATGTAATAATTGAATATATTGGTTGTGATGCAATAACCAGGCAGCTCCATTTTAAGAAATTTGTAGAAAATCGAAAAAGTGCTGCTCGGTTCTCGCTGCAAACCCAGATCAAGGCAACTCCAACTAACGTCGCCATTTATGTACTGTTATATTGAGAGAACTGATTGTTGCAGGAAACAATCGGCCAATTTTTTTAAAGGGCAATTCATTAAATGTCTAATTTTCGAAAAAAAAGTGGAGCTGCCTGGTTATTGCAGCCACCCCTTCAATTACTTTTTATCAAATATGCGATAATTGTTTTGAGTAGTGTATTTTCCCCAAAACTTAGGCTAAGAGTTTCTGCAAAAAACTTAAATTGTTCATTTATACTTAGATTCAAATGTGTGTTCAAGGAAGGGAGAAGAGTTATATGTCAATTTTTTTTTTGCTTTTATCTCGAAAACTATGACACCTACAGAAAAATACTTTATATAAAAAATAAAGATAATCTCTATAAAAATGGTTATGTTAATTGTTTTTATATAACCTTTTAAAAGTTACAGGACTGACAAAAAGTCAAATCACAAATTGTTTTATTCATAAAAATTACAATTCAAATTTATCTTGAAAACAATAATATTAATTGAACTGAATCCATGTCACTTGCCAGGCCATCTTTATCTTCTAGTACTTCTACTGGAGAGAGGGCTATTGGTGCCCCGTTCCTCACAGTTACCGCATACAAAATTGCAGTTCATGTCTGCCTTACGGCATCCACAACGTTTACAGCAGCCTTTAATGCAGTTGCTTAGTAAGGTTCTGCAATGCAACATTCTTATAAGATCTATTTGCAAATTCAGGAGTGGCTAGGAAACAAATTTCCACCTGATTGAGGTTGATTGAGGTTGGATGAAAGAGACAGATGGAGATATTCAGCCTCTTACAACCTTATATCACGCTGCTCCATCCTTTACCAACTTGCAAAATATTGTAGAGACGATGGATGGTAACGGGCGTTACAATTTCAGTTGGCAAGACACGCAATAATCTACATGTTGCTCCCATGTAGAAAACTGTATGTCAGCGATGTCTTCTGTTTTGCAAATAGATCTTATAAGTCGGAGTTAAATGGAAGAGCAGAAGCATTATGCTTCTGAATTTCGCTCCACTCCAAAATTGGGTTTTGATTATTTATATGTATATATATTCTGATGGTGTAATTATTTAATTTCTATGATTTCTTACTATTTTAATCTATTAATAATTAACTGTATTTTATTTTACTTTTTTTGGAAATAAAGGCATTATTATTATTATTATGTCTTCTAAAGCAGAACAAATTGATATTGATGTAGCTGCACCACTAATCCTCTTTGCCAATACTGAATAGATTTATAGGTAGGTTTATAGGATTGTAGGTGTATAGTTTTCGTGATATAATCAAAAAAAAAACAAAAAAAAATACTGTTACGTTTTTCGTCGGTTCCGTGTGGATAGAAAGTCACAATTTATTTAACACTAATTAACAAAAACAATAACGATAAAAGAGACTTAAAGAACTATTTACAAACGATTTATAACTATTTATCTAGAAAGAATTTATTTTGAACTTAGCGCGTCAACTGTACTCGTCTTATTTATATCTGCCCTCTTTAGACCCCAGCCGCCGGCTTTTATACCCACAGCTAAAGATTTCTCGAATAGTCCATAGATCGTTAGGTACATAGAGAAGGTTTCGATTGTTCTCGTATGCACTACTCCATTCTAGTGGAACTCGATTCTTCTCGAAACTTCGAATGAATCATTACGGTGTGTATTCGTTAATGCGATCTTAAGGTCATCTGAGGGCAGGACATATAGTTAGGTTAGGTCGAGTCCACACGAGTCCGCAACACCCTTCTTACCCAACCCTTCTTAGGTACAAGCTCGTCCCGAGATGTACACGGTGAATGAAAGTATTTGCAAAGCTGGCCCCTGGTACATTGGGAAGTCTGGTAGAAATAGCAGTCTACAGTTTTCTCTTCCGATCTCAGCTTTGAGTTGTAGCAGCAAACGAGGATCTCGATTCGCGTAAATCTGAACAAGACTTCAATCATGTTCCGGATTGTATGCCTACTCAAACCATCGAATCCACACGCCAGCTTCGGAATGGCTTATCGTATAATGTTGTTGTTTAGCAGGGCTTCTCTCAGTTCAATCAGGGTCTTCCATAGATTGAGATAAGTCGGCTTACTCGGGGACCATTCCTTGGTGACCAGGTAGAAGATGTGTCTTGCTTGACCATGTGCATTGTCGGTTAGCCTCAAGACGCTTCCAACCCCACACCTGACACCAATTGTTACGTTTTTCGTCGGTCCCGTATGGACAGAAAGTCACAATTTATTTATCACTAATTAACAAAAACAATAACAATAAAAGACTTAAAGAACTATTTACAAACGATTTATAACTATTTATCTAGAAAGAATTTATTTTGAACTTAGCGCGTCAACTGTACTCGTCTTATTTATATCTGTCCTCTTTAGGCCCCAGCCGCCGGCTTTTATACCCACAGCTAAAGATTTCTCGAATAGTCCATAGATCGTTAGGTGCATAGAGAAGGTTTCGATTGTTCTCGTATGCACTACTCCATTCCAGTGGAACTCGATTCTTCTCGAAACTTCGAATGAATCATTACGGTGTCTATTCGTTAATGCGATGTTAAGGTCATCTGAGGGTGGGACATATAGTTAGGTTAGGTCGAGTCCACACGGGCCCGCAACAATATATTTAACCCCGTCCCTCGAGCTCACCACCCATCTTCGGGGACTTCGTCATATCAACCCAAGTCTAAAGGAAACTTTTAAAACCATTTCCAGAACAGTGGGAATTCTTTCCATCACTGATTTGTCTACTTTGACTGTGCTAAAGTCTATTAATAAAGGACTTATAATGGCGTTACCTATTATAATAAGGTTAGGGCGAAAAAAGTGAAAATAAATCAATATTGCTTTTGAGCAGTGTTCTGAATACTACACCAAAAGTTTGATATGATAACTCATTGAATATATATATATATCTTCAATATTAGTTTTGAAGTTTCACAGTCAGACGAATTTCTATAATAATCTCTAAAAGGACAATGAGATTCCAACAATAACAAAAATTTTGCATTCTCATTTTATCCGATAAAATCTACTTTGGAAGTTAAAATTACGATAAAGACAGCCTACCGGATATTTCGTTATATTCGTTCTTGTGTCAAATAGATCAATTTAAACAGTTTCACATATTTGCTTTCAATATAAAGCATGTGTATTTACGATATGTGTATTTACGATATATTTATAATAAGATTCCGTTAAGAACGTTTTAGACAAAAGAATCAATAATTATACTAATTAATAACAGGAAAAAATGAAAATGCAAAAGTAAACAGATTACAGGAACCAGTAGTTAGGAGGTTTAAGAATATTTGATTAAAAATGATGAGGCTTTTTCTGGCACAAACATATGCATTTGTATGAAATTGAACGATTTATTGCAATCAAAAGAAATTGAGTCATTGAGGTTTGAGTAAGTTGCCTGAACCAATTGTTATTCATTGCTTGTTTGATTTTCATTCAGCTTGTTTCACAAAAGTAAATACTCTAAAAACATTTTGTATTTTAACAATTTACATGTCAAGCGAGTATTGAATTATAATTCTTTGAGTTTGTTGAACTTTTCTCAGAAGTCTGTATTGCCACACGAACTATTTAACATGTCTACTTCAATGCATATAAAATGCTTGATTTATATTAAAGCAAAGCGTCCACCGCTTGCAATCTGCGACAGTCTAAGCGACAATATATTTCCATCCTTAGCGTCTGTATTTGAGCTGCATTACAGGTTGCATTCAAACGAATTTTTACTTGTTGTTAT